ATCCCCCTCCCTCGTGGCAGGCCCCAGCCACGTGCCACGGCAGGAGGGAAGGGGAAGGAGGGCGGGGAGAGACGGAGGGAAGAGAGAGGCAGGAGAAGAGAAAGAAAGAGTGAAAGGCAGGAGGGGGAGAAGAGAAAGAAAGAAATACGGAGAGAGAGGCAGGAAGCAGAGGAGAGCTGAGAGAGGGGGGTAAAAGGAGGAGAAGGGGGCAGAGAGAGAGACTGAGCGAGAGCGCTCAGGAGAGAAGACCTGAAAATCCTGTCTTATGGCGGGCTAATTGGCTAGTTTTTAAAAATTTCTCATCCCATCCACACTACCAATCCTGTTATTTCAAAATAACGCACTGGTTATTTCGGGAGTTATTTCAAATTTAGTTATTTCAAAATAATTTCCTAGTGTTCACATACCCTACGGGGGGATAAGATTGATGTCTATAAAATTATGACTGGTGGAGAGAAAGTAGATAAGGAAGTGCTGTTTACTCCTTCTCATAACATAAGAACTAGGAGTCAGTCCGCCCCTACCCCATTCTGCCTATTTAACATCACAAGATAATCAACACCAGTTTCAATTATTTTGGAAATTTCAAAATAGCTAGAAGCAAATATGTCTGTAACAATACAGACAACAACCAACAACAAAACTCAGGATTTTTTGACAGATTCCTCACTAGGCATCTTACTTTGAGTAATAACTGATTTAAACTACAATAAAAAAAATGTATTTCCTGCACCCCCTCAGAAGCAGTAGAGGAGTCAGGGGTAGCAAGGAACTGAGGGAGAGGGAAGTAATTGCTGGGCAGGAACCTGCGTATGAACTAGGAATGTTGTTGGATGGGGTAGGAAAAGTATGGAACAGGTTTTTTTTTGTGAGGGGAGGGGGCTGAAAAGAGGAGGGATTGTTACAGAGCCTCCCCTCTTAGGTCTTGGCTGTCCTCTGGCCACTCCCATTCAGTCAGGCACATCTGCCCCTGTGATTGTGTCCCCCTGCACTCCTCCCCTCCATCCTCCTATTTCTTTAGCAACACTGTTCAGACATCTTTCCTCCTTTCCTTCCCTGCCTTTCCATTCAGACCCTGGTTCTCCCCATGAGCTGCTTGCCTGATATTAACCTCTCAACCATAGTCTGTGTGACTTCCCAGCAGTTTGGTGTGCCCCACTCTGACTGTCCCCCTCATATCCCATACTTCCTCACCTGGCTCTGAAGGAAGAGCACAGTGAGGAAGACAGCTTCTCCACTACTCTCTCTGTCTGAGCCAGCTGCCCTCTCTTCTGGCATCACAACAGCCACTGATGGGCAAAAGATGCAATTGTAGAGCCTTCCTGGCAGATTATCATTTTCTCTGGGGAAAACACTTCAGCAGGGGACATGAATCTGCAGTGGCACAGAATCCTACCTCCCAGGAGTAAGACCTGTAAGACACTTTAGGAATTTCTATCCAAAAGCCTACATGACAAAAGCTAATACTTACCTCCCATATCTGAATCTGCTGGTGGGCTTGCTCTTGATTTTCCTGTTTGTTTTTGCTTTATGATCCCACAAGCTGCTTGCTGTCCTTTTCCATTTCCATATCCATTCTGAACATTTGTATTGGAAGAATTATGGACTTTAAGTGGTGACGAAGGAGGGCTGTTAAGTTTATTATTAGTATGTCCACTAGCTTGTCTCTCCTTAAGTCTTTTCTTCAAGTGTTCTTGCATTTTGACAGCCCTTTCATCTCGCTGAATAAAATTTGCCCTTCCATGGGAACGAGGTTCTAAAAAACAACAAAACATGTACGTTTTATTATTCAGTACAATTTGGTTATGTGGCATCTGAGAAAAAACACTGGAAGTTAAAAACTGCAATATAGCCAGGTTATTAAAAACCCTTGCAAATTCAAATTAAGTGTAAAGTGCAATACTATCTGAGTGTGTAGAAGGAAAGATCTGGTACTATTCAAAGTTGTGACAAACTGAATCACAACTGAAGACCAAAGACTTAATTTTCACACTGTTACTTAGAAAGATGTGGCACGGGTCAAGTGATAAGAATTTCATGCTGCTGATTGGCATGGGCTACAGGCAATATACTCAAGGGTCTTGCTTGTGTGATATCAGAGTTATGGTAAATGTTGGCAGCTCAAAGTTTATTTTGATTTTGCGCTATATTAAAATCTGAAACCTATGAGCACTTGTGCAATGGAGGTGGTTTCTAATTCTGAACAAAATGTTATGATTGTTCTTTCAGAACAAAACTGACTTATACAGCTTCTCTGGCTGCAAAGAAAAAAAATGCTGTTTTCCCTAATTTTGTCAGTTTACATTTAACAGTACTGTCTTATATTTGCATTTTTGACCTTGCTCTGTAATGCTTTCTGACTGTGTATTTCCAATTCTAAATGAGGTGCACACTTGACTGGTGAGTTTATTTATAACACTGAGCTTCTTCTGTATTGTTAATTTTGCTCATATTCTTTTTAATGCAGTCATTGCTTTTAATGTATGCCCATTTACCTCTCTCGTTGTATTTCATAGAATCGCAGAACGCAGATTAAACCTCTCTGGTCCACCAACATTGGATCACAGATGTTGCTGGACCAGAGAGCAGCCCCTGAACCAGAGTGCCCTAGGAGGCCTGAGGCAGGGACTGGAGTCATGAGCCCTGCAGAGTACCAGTGGGCCCAAGCCAGGCTGCAGAGCCCAGGGGCAGTGGAGGCTGGCATCCCAGGACTGACCGCAGAGACAGGAACCAGGGGCTCAGAGAGCCTAGTGGCCAGGGAGGGAAGCTCGGCTGGGTCTGCTGATGGATCCCAGGAGAGCTTGGGGTTGGAATTGACCTCCCCTGGTCCAGAAGCGTAGCAAACTCCTTCCTTCACGAATGGTCAGGTCGCAAGGATGCCAGATCAGGGAAGTCCAACCTGTACTAGACCTGCAAGGAACCCTGAGAGGTTAAATACAGTCCCCTGAACTCACAGAAGGACCAAGCACCATTTAAACCATCCCTTGACAGATGTTTATCTAACCTGCTCTTAATTTCCAATGATAGAGATTACACAACCTCCCCAGGCAATTTATTTCAGTGCTTAACCACCCTCACAGTTAGGAAGTTTTTCCTAATATCCAATCCAAATTCTCATGCTACAATGTAAGCCCACTGCTTCTTGTCCCATCACCAGAGGGTAAGGAAAACAGTTCCTCTCTCCTCATAACATGTTTTTAGGTACTTGAAAGCTGTTATCGTGTCCTCTCAATATTCTCTTTTCCCAGCTAAAACCCAATTGCTTCAATCTTCCTTTATAGGTCATATTTTTTAGACCTTTAATCATTTTTATTGCTCTTCTCTGGACCTTCTCCAGTTTCTCTGAACGTGGTGTCCAGAACACAGTATTTCAGTTAAATATAAGAACATAAGAATGGCCATACTGGGTCAGATTAAAGGTCCATCTAGCCAAGTATTCTGTCAGCTGACAGTGGCCAATACCAGATGCCCCAGAGGGAGGGATCACAAATAGGTAATCTTCACGTGATCCCTCCCGTCACCCACCTCCAGAGAAACAGAGGCTAGGGATACCATTACTAACCATCTTGGATCATAGCCATTGATGGATCTAACCTCCATGAATCTATCTAGCTCTTTTTTGAACCCTGTAAAAGCTCTAGATTTCATGACATCCTCTGGCAAGGAGTTCCACAGGTTGACTGTGTGATGAGTAAAGAAAAACTTCCTTTTGTTTGTTTTAAGCTTGCTGGCTATTAATTTCATTTGGTAACCCCTACTTGTTATATTGTGGGAATAAGTAAATTAATTTTTCCTTATTCTTTTTTTCCATACCAGACATGATTATATAGACCTCTATCATATCCCCCCTTAGTCTCCTCTTTTCTAAGCTGAAAAGTCCAAGTCCTTTTAATCTCTCTTCATATGGGACCCGTTCCAATTTTTATAAAACTTTTCCTGACTGTTTTGGCTGGGAAGCTATCAAGCGCTGGCACTTCAGTTGCCCTCATGTTGCTCCTGCCCTCCTTCTTGGAGCTGCCCCCCTGGGAGCCTCCTGCTTGCAGTGCAGGGTGTGGGAGGGAGAAGGGGGGGCATTGATGTCAAGATGTTGCCCCCAACCCCCACTCCTGTACCCTCACTGCACACAAAGGGCTCATCTAGACTATGCGGAATACTTCTGATCTCACTTTCAAAAGCAAAATTTTAGAAAGTGAAAGCAGTCGGGACGCGGCTTTTTCAGACTCCCCCCCCTTACAAAAAGACATGTAAACTTCATTTTTTGAGGAAAAACAGCTTTTCGAAAAAGGAGAGGGTTTGCTGAAAGTCACATCCCAACTACTTTCACTTTCGAAAGCAAGATCAGAAGACGATACGCAATGTCCCACAGAATTTGCATATCCTCTTTCGAATGTTCCACGTTATCTAGATGAGTCCTGAGTAGATGTTTTCAGAGAACTATCCACACACTGACTAAAACCTAATCAGTGCAGAGTAGAGCAGAAGAATGACTTCTCATGTCTTGCTTACAATACTGCCAATAATGCATCATTTAGGAGGATTTTGCTTTTTTTGCAACAGTGTACATTGCTGATTCATATTTAGCATGGGGTCCACTATAAACTCTAAGTCACTTTCTGCAGTAATCCTTCCTAGACAATTGCTTCTCATTTTACACATATGAAACTGACTGTTCCTTCCTAAATGGAGTACTTTACATTTGTCCTTATTGAATTTCATCCTATTTACCTCAGACCAATTCTCCAGATCATTTCAAACTATAATCCAATCCTCCAAAACACTTGCAACCCCCTCCCAACTTGGTATCTCCTGCAAACTCTATAAGCATACCCTCTGCTATTACCTATATCGTTAATGAAGATATTGACCAGAACCAGAACTGATCCTTGCTGAATCCAACTTGTTATACCCTTCCAGCATGACTGATAAGCACTCTTTGAGATTCAACCAGCTATATACCCACCTTATAGTAGCTCAATTTAGGTTGCATTTCCCTAGCATTTATTAGAAGGTCATGCAAGACTGCATCAAATGAAGGGTTGTTAGCCTGTAATCATTTACACAATTAACTGATAAGCCTCTGCTTACTGGTTATTCCTAACAACTACACTCTCCCTTTTCTATCACAGACAGCACACAGGGATGGAGGTAGGAGCCAACTCTTGCAGAGCTGCTTGCTTCCCCCTGCTGCCTCCCACAGATAGAGGCAGCAGTGTGGGGGTGGGGGGAACAGAAAAAGGAAGTTACTCACCTTGTGCAGTAACAATTGTTCTTCGAGATGCGTGTCCCGTGGGTGCTCCACTGTAGGTGTCGGGCTTGTCCCGGCGCCGCAGATCGGAGATCTTTTCTAGCCGTAGTCTGCCGGACCGCGCATGCGCGAAGTACGGCTCGTGGCTTTTCGCGCCAATTGAGCGTTGCTGGTCCGGCTCCCGCTAGTTTCTCCTGTCTCTTGCTTTGAAAGACACACAGTAGAGAAAACTCCGAAGAGGGGAGGAGGGCGGGTCGTGGAGCACCCACGGGACACGCATCTCGAAGAACAATCGTTACTGCACAAGCTGAGTAACTTCCTTTTCTTCTTCGAGCAGTGTCCCGTGGGTGCTCCACTGTAGGTGAATGTACAGCAGTAGCTCGCGAATGGAGGTGGGTTCAGAGCTAGCATGCCGTAACTGTGGATAACACCACTGTCGCCACCGCCGAATCACGTATTAAGAGATTGGGGAGAGCATAATGTGTAGCGAAGGTTAGGTTGGAAGACCACGTAGCAGCTCTACAGATATCAAGCGAACTCCCGTGAGGAATGCAGTGGACATTGCGACAGCCCGAGTCGAATGGGCTCTCAAAGTTGAAGGCAGTGGTTTGTTTCGCAGTTTATAACAAGTCCTTATGCATTGCACAATAGTGGAGGCATAATGTGTAGCGAAGGTTAGGTTGGAAGACCACGTAGCAACTCTACAGATATCTATCAAGGGAACTCCCTTGAGGAATGCAGTGGACGTTGCGACAGCCTGAGTTGAATGGGCTCTCAAAGTCGAAGGCAGTGGTTTGTTTCGCAGTTTATAACAAGTCCTTATGCATTGCACAATAGTGGAGTAGATGTGTTGAGCGGACAATGAGCAACCTTTAGTACGGTCCGCCATTGATATTAGTAGCAAATCCGCCACTCGAAAAGGTCTGGTTCTCTCAATATAGAAGGCGAGAGCACGTCTGACGTCCAAAGCGTGCAGGCACGCATGTTCTGGTGAAGCGTGTGGTTTGGGATGGAATATAGGAAGAATTATAGGTTCATTGATGTGAAAACGAGAGATCACGTTGGGGCGAAAACGTGGTTGTGTTCGCAATATCACAGCTTGGTGTGTAAAAACTGTATAGGGAGGAGAGACTGAGTGAGCTAGCTCACTCACTCTCCTCGCGGAAGTAACTGCCAACAAGAAAACGACCTTCATGGACAGGTCATGTAGCTTGCATGTTGCTAGCAGCTCGAAGGGTTTGCCCGTCAGGGAATTCAGGACCATTTCGAGGTCCCAAGGATCCGCCGGTTGATTATAATGTGGATACAAGTTGGACATTCCCTTGAAGAACCTCTTCGTTGTCGGGTGGGAAAAAACGGAACATCCGTCGACAGGCTGATGAAAGGCTGCTATTGCAGCGACATGGACTCTAATGGAAGCACAGGTAAGGCCCAAATTTTTGAGGTGTACGAGGTAGTCCAGGATACACTGCAGAGGTGTAGAGACTGGATTCAGAGCCTTTTGGAAACAC